TTAGGCCACAGCTGGTAAACATTTCTGCAAAACAAGTCATTCGCGTTGCAATGAATTCGTTGTATGGGAATTCTTTTAAGAGTGTTAGGAGCCACCGACGCTACGTGGAACTCGTTAATTCCATATCCCATTTTTTATAAGATTTAACGTAAGGCGGAGTTATTAATAAAATAATTGAGTTACAGGCTAAGAAAACAATGACAGAAGTTATAATATTTTATTATAGGTGTCGTTTTATATTACTCGTTTCTCATAAGAATAATAGTAACTAAAATATATTTAACAGTAAAATCTATATATATAAAAGAAAGTCGTGTTAGTTACACTATTTATATAATAACCCAAGAACGGCTTCACCGATATAGCTGTAAATTGGTGAGGAGGTAGCTTAGAGCCAGGAGACGGACATAGGATACTATTTATTCATTTTTTTTTAGAATTTATGCCTTGAAGAGCTGCTTTTTATTTAACTTACTAATATTATATTTAAATGCAAATGTTTAGATGGATGTGATGTGGATGGATGAATGGGTGGGCTTTACTAATTATTTTTTTTTATATATCCACGCGGACGGGGTTGCGGGCGACAGCTAGTGTATTATAAAGTATTTGTGTGTCTATGTGTGTGCGGTAACATTATGTTTCACATAGAGATTTCGGATTTAGAAGCCCATTATTAGTAACTGTGTGAAATTCTAGTATCAAATTATCGTGTCCTGGTTTACAGAAGAGGACGTGAATTTCCTGTACATTTCGATGAAATGTCATTTAGCGTTCAACGCGATTAGTTCGAATACTTGGTATAGGAATATACATAGATGCTAAATTATAGCTCAGATAGTGTAAGTTTGATTCCATAATCGGTGTAAAGCGAATTTATTTCTTTACCTAAACTTCCTCTTGATCTTACTAATGTTATAAATGCGAACGGCTGAACGGATTTCGATGAAATTTGGCGTTCATTTAGAACATAGTGCGGAAGAACACGTAGGCTACTTATTTTGTTTTTTTTAAATTCCACGCGTACTGATTCTCGGGCGATAGCTAGTAGTTTTAAATATAATTTGAGAAAATGAACACAAATATTATAGACAAATACTTCGAATCGGTAACGAAATCTTTGTCCGTTGTCAGTGTCATAAAACGTCACGACCGCTGTCTATCAGGGAGAATTGGATTTTCTTACTTTTTCCATAAATGTATTATTTATAACTAGGAGTCGCCCCCGACTTCGTCTACGTGGAATTTATAAGAGTAGATTACAATATTCCCGCGTGCACCAGTTACCTTCCCGAAGAAGTCTTGTCAAAATCGATCTAGCCGTTCAGGAGGTTACTCGAAACAAACGCAACCTTATAGACAGACATACAGACAGACAAAAATGTTTAAAAACTGATTTTTCGTTATAGATTACGATTTTTTCAATATTACATACAGACGCTACAATTCTATTAATATTTATAGATATACTAACTACGCAAGCACATAGACAGGCGTAAAGTGGGTGTATAGTTGTGTGATAAAACAGCATAAAAACTTCAACGGAAAATAGGTTTAAAAATACGTTCCATTCCAGAAATAGCGTTTCATTGTATTTATTCGTCGTTGTTGAATCAACTGTTGCGATGAAAAACTCATAAGAGTTGTGCCTTGATGCTACAGTGCCACAATTTTTCAAAATAACTATAGTAATTTGACATCAAGCAAAAGGATTAATTCTATAAAAAAAAACTGTACTATAATATATATGTCACAACGGTTTGTTTACCATATGTCTAAGCTTGGTTCATGACGTTTTGAATGTCAAAATCGACCAGCTCTTACTGCTAGAGCCATCTACTGACAAACAGCGACAACTTAGTTGCGCACCTAATATATTTAATTATTATAGAATTCTAACTTTTAAATTTATATAAATATAATTAGTTTTCTGGACTTGTTAATTATCCTCTTTTGTAAGTTCGGAATACATACACTTGATAACGTGATAGTGTTGCCGGAAGTTTTGTAATATTTGATACAAACGACCTTAAAGTTGCTGATAAATAAATTAGTTGGAAACAATTAACTCATAGCCGGGTAAAGTCGACAAAGATAAAACAAACTGTTAATTTTCTTATGATCATTACATTCATAAAATTAAAACAAAACATATTTCCATAACACTACAGATGAGTAATAATTTGTTTAGCAACTGCAATTTTAGGGAAATTTAAAGGTTATTTAACCTTTACTATAAACATATACTCTTAATATTTACAGATATTTACACTAAGGGACGTCCTTGACTAGTGAACAATTGAATAGTAGTAAACACATATATGGTTTAGTAAACCGCCATGACGTCATTCAATTTAACCATCATGTTTTGCTACACCTGTACATTTCCAGAACTCTAGAAATTTACATTCATATATACACTGACTGTACCTATAGATGCTACGAAAAAATGTACGCAATATATCGTTATTGAAGCTCTGATAATAAAATCAGTTCCCAGTAAAACAATTACAGCGCGGACAGATAGTGTCAGTTCGTATTACGTCCGGCAACGCCACGGTATTTTCCACAATGTTTAGCTTTTGACTATAATTATAAAAACTTCCTCCCTTCTTTCCCAATCGACTACTTACATCTTACTTATGTTATAAATAGGATGTTTGGACAGATGGATGTTAGAAGGTATCGCCAAAACAGCTGCATGGATCTCACTGATTTAGATGTAACATAGTCTGGAAGAACATATAGGCTACTTATCAAGTGTAGGTTGTGTCGCGAGTAAAAACTATTATATACCTTATATATAAAATTCTCGTGTCACAATTTTCGTTCCCATACTCCTCCGAAACGGTTTGACCGATTCTCATGAAATTGTGTGAGCATATTGAGTAGGTCTGAAAATCGGCCAACATCTATTTTTAATCCCGCGCGGACGGAGTCGCGGGCGACACCTAGTATATATATGTGTATGTAAACTGAAAATTCGTAGTAGTTATAAGATTCTATACATTCTCAAAGATAGTTAAAATAATTTGTATGAAAGGGAAAACAAAAATAGATCGATAGAGAAACGTTAGCGCCGGTTTTAAATTACTTTTTTTTTTGAAGCGTGTAAAAAAATGTTAATTAAGAATTCTTTAGATAGACAAATATTTTTAGATCGATTACGAGGCTCGGAGATAAAACCACTTAATTCTAAGCATATTGCTATAAACATTTTTCTTAATATATTTTTAAAGAACTTTCTCTAATGATTTCATAAATATTTTATATTACTTCTTTATCTAAAATTACTTCTCTTTGTGTTGATGTTAAGAATACTCTTGTAAGTTGCTTTTGAACTTATAAAGAGATGTTATTATTAAAACTAGACAAAAAGTATAAAAACTTTTTTATTAGCTTACAGGAATTCATAAAGCTATGAGAAAAAATTACTTATCTTTCCAAAAAAAAGAAAATCATCATGTATATCTTACTAATATTATAAATGCGATTATTTAATGGATGGAAGAGGTTAGAAGATATCCCTACAATGGCTGCTTGGATCTCGATACGAACGTAATCTGAAAGAACACACAGGCTACTTATGATCACGTTTAATTTACATGTGTTCTTAATCAATAATCTTATTGTTTGACAAATATTTAGAATATAGTCACGAGTAACACATGACATACTTTTCAACTATTTTTTTAATTCTGCGTAGACGAAGTCCTGTTCAATAAATCGTACTTTTACTAATATTATAAATTCAAATGTTTAATGGATGGATGGATGTTTGTTTAAAGGTAAACGACTGAACGGATCTCGGTGAAATTTGGCAAGTACAAGGCTACTAATTATGTTTTTTTATAATTCCGCGCGGACAGAGTTGCGGGCGTCAGCTAGTAGTCAATAAATACGAAAAATTAAATTCCCCACAAATAAACTGTAATTGAATTCTAAATAACAGTAAGACTTTCACTGTTTGAGATGTATTTGTTTTGTTAATGTAATGCACGCGGTAGTTCATGGAATACAACTAGAGTTCTGAAGAACGTCAAAATAATCTTGTTTATAAAAATGCTTTTAAAACGAAATGGAAAACGCGGTGTGGGTGGTTTACTTTTAAAACTGATGCCTACACTAAAAACAAAGTATACAAATATAATCTACAGTAAAATAAAGTGCCCAATCCATTGAATACAATGCTTGGGTCCAGTTTTAATCCTCTTCTTTTTAGTGAATAGCAATCTAGTGAGGAGTCACCTGATTTTATGAAGTTAAAGTTTTAATAGATATTTGTTATTAAATTTATTTTATTTGCTTGAAAATTAATTTGAAATAAAACGAGAATTATTGTGATTACGTTTATATTACTAGCAATAATACAAATATTACTGACAGATTTAATATTTCATAAATATAGTTAAATATTTTAAATTAATGCATTTTAAATACATTTATTTATATTTAATAAATGGTAATGAAAAATCAATAAGCCTTTTTTAATGTTTAAACACTTATATAGATTACTTATGAGTATATTTGACGATGTTCATAAAATTGTTAATTACTATTTCTAAGTAATAACTAACATTTAATGTTTTTTTACACTTCTACTATCTAAATAATTATGTTCTTTGGTAATTCGATGTTATATATCTACATTAACTACGTTATATATCTATATATAGACTATTTTATAATACTAACAACTCATTTACTACCATATTAGGGCTCATAAATACAGTAGTAAATGAGATAAATTTTTATTTACAATTTATTAAAATCTAAATATCTTATTCAAAACCATTTACATTAACAACCATCGCAAATTAAAAGTATTTTACAAATTTCTATATACATTTTAGTTTATTGTATAAATGTGTTATTTACAATGTATATATGTGCCATTATTTACATCTACAATATAATATATAGCATAGATAAAATCAACAGTAAAATCATTTAATCTTATATATTTAAATGCATTGTACATTGATATTGGATTATTTTATTTATATTATTTTCTTTCGTATTGTAACGGTTCAATATATTAGCAAAACTTAAATATTATATTTCAATTACGTATATAGAATTCTAAAGATGCTTTGGGTCGCATTTTGTACTTAAACGACGCTGATTTGCTCGTTACGCCGCCCGCGACCCGGCAGTGATTCTCAGACGATGTCGTGGCAGGAGTTACCGTTGCCCGTTCTGGTCGTCTTCGTCGGTTGGGGACGACCGGATGTAACGTCGGTGTATGGCGGCGGACAATACATTACCTGAGAACAATAATGTTACATTATTCAATAGTAATATAATCGATTGTAGAAAGACATAAAATTATCGAACACAGTAAAATATCCTTTTCGTGGGTGTTACAGTATAAAATGTGAAACTAACATAAAATGTAAAAAGAAAACAGCCGAATGTCAGATCCACTATCAGTATTTTTCTCACGAATCGCGAATAAGGAGATTTGCCTGCCCTTACGAAAAGAAAACAGAAAAGTATACAAAGATTATTGGAATTGATCCCCTTAAACGCCTTAATCTGAAGACGATAAACAAAATCATAAACTATATAAAGATATCAGTCTTCTACGAAATTGTGGTAAGTCACTAATGAAATTGGCGAGTCAAATATTTTCAAAGTGTAATTACCTTCCTAAAGGCAACCCTGAAGTTCTCGGAGAGGAAAGCGTAGAGCACGGGGTTGACGCAGCTGTTCATGTAGGCAAGCACGTGTGACACAATCTGTGCCGTCACAGAGAAGTACGTTATCGTATACTTGTCCAGCGCCTTCACCAGCAGGATTATCTGCGACAAAATATTTTAAGGTTACATTACCCATCATATGGCATTCTATAATTACGTCATCAAATAATTAGAGGTATTTTACCTGAATAGGACACCAGCATACTGCGAATACCACAACCACGACAACGACCATTCTGGTGACTTTCTTTCTTCCTCTCCTGCTCTCTGCAGACACTCTTCCCCCTGGAGCACTCTTCCATAACCTCGTCAGCATACACATGTATAAAACGCTTATCAACGCTAGAGGCACCACATAAGAGGACAGGAAGAAGGATAGTTGAAATCCCCATTTGCTGTATCCATGGTCTTCTAAAAACACGCACGATGAATGATTTCTATGGAAATAGGAGTATTCCCTTTCCCCGTGACAAATTCCAACAGGTATAGCTGTGGTCAGAATAACAACCCAAATGCAACCTATAGCCATTAATGCGTTTTTCTCAGTCCTGATAGACATAGAGGCTATCGGATGTACGACTGCCATAAATCTATCCAACGACATCAAAACCAATGTGTATACTGACGCATGTGCTGTCACCACGATGAAATATTGAACAACTTTGCACCACCAGTCACCGAATGGCCATCTTGGCATTACATAATCTGTGGCAGTGAACGGCACGCAGAAGGTTACGAACAGCAAATCAGCGACAGCAAGATTGATGATGAGTAGATTGGTAGTGGATCTCATACCAGGGTTAGCGGCCACCACAAGCACGACCAGCGCATTGCCGACCAATCCGACGATACCAATGAAACCGAAGAATATCGGAACAACTCGTGATACGACTTTTTCAAGGAGCTCGCCATTTTCATATTCAGCGCTATAGTTACATCCACTGAAATTGTTTAGTTCTTCGTCGGTTAGATTCAAGCATATGCTGAAGAATTCGTCTTCTGCTGAATCCATTTTTGGTTTATACTATTACCATGTTTGCTAAAATTGTATTTTTTAGTTTTACCTGAAACAAAAAAAAATCTTAAAGAATGATTGTAAAATGCAATAAAATCTTACAGTTATCCATTAAGATTTTAAAACTATATTTAAAACAAATTTAATTTTTTTAAATAAATAAGAACTAGCCTCGCAAATGACTGGCTTATTTCGAAGAAAATAAATATGAGGCAAAAGGCAACACTTAAAATTCTCTTCCGTTAGCTCACAGTGAGCTGAGGCTCATAAATTATGTATCCCAGATGAATTATATCCCTGCACTGACTTACAATGCTACCGAACATTATTAATTCAATGTGCATCTATAATTTCATCTTGAAATGCTTTAACTTGAGGTCATTCACTTCAAATGACACTATTTTAGTGCTATTAAGACGATTTAAACTTAGCTGTAAAATTAATACCACTTGTTATAAATATTTGTTTGTGGCGATTTATAAATCAACATTTTAAAGTTACAAAATAAAACATCGAAAGCCGATACGAAATGCAATCATGACGACAATTTATACTAACTAATGCAAATAAAATATAGCCAGGATTTTTTTTACATGACTCCAAAATTAAAATGCCTATAGCGATAGAGTAAGAACAATAAATTACAAAGACGTTAGACTAATCATTATTTAAAGGAGTTGAAGCTTATAAACAAGCTGTCCTGTCAGATCCAAAGTGTTACATGTTAAAATATATTTACTAGGCCGTTGATTGATTGTATACGAGTGCGGATTGAAGATAGTTAATAAACAGGAATCTTTGGTAACAATTCATCATGATCTAACGCTGTCAGTGCATAAATGTTAGCACGTACAAATTTATCTAATCTATGTTTGCTTGCTCTGATTTGGCCTTGATCTTTCAATAGATCGTTTGCATTTTCATACTAGTTATCGCCCGCGACTCCGTCCACGCAGAATTAAAGAAATCATATACATTAGAAGCCGATGTGTTCCACCAGACTATGTTCTATATGTACGCCAAATTTCATCAAAAGCCGTTCAGCTGTTCTGAGGATACCTTCAAACAAACATACATCCGTCCATCTAAATGTTCGTATTTATAATATTAGTAAGATTTGAAAATACAAGCAAGAGACTATCTACCATTTAGATCTTCATCGTGCTTGATTATGCAACAAAAAATGTAACATAGAATAATGGTTGTGATATAATTCAAGAAATTAATTTAATTAATAGCAAAATTGTCAAAAACAACGGACACAAATGTAAACAGTCGACTAACCCTTAGTGAAGAAGTACGTGACACCATAAAGGGTTGTAAGTTAACAAAGAGTTTTCAGAAAAATGTAACCAGGCACCAGCAACAAATGACTGTCGCAGACGTCAAGTAAAAATATCTTTCCTCATTCCTCTGTCCTCGTTACTCGATAAAGACAATGGCTGTCATTTTATACTTTTACACATGACTTGCTTTCTTTTACGTATTCTTATTTATTGTTTAAAATAAAATTGTCCCTTTGAAAATTTACTTCGTTTCTTTTCCGCTTACAAAACGGATATAATAATTTAAAATTCTAGATAAAATAAGTTTTTCATTATGATAAAAACTGTCAGAGTTTCTAATTATTAAACTGACGTTGAATTATTGGAATGAAAAAGATCCAACACTCGACCCAGTTGTTCAGTATAAGTTTATACTTAGCGTCGTATTATGCAAATAGAATGGACGTTTATAACAAGAGTTAGGGTTGTTTCTTTTTGTATCATAACTTGCCCATAGACATCCGCAATTATAGATGCCCACCTTTATTCAACGGAGAAAGGGACGCAGTAAGAGAACATTTTCTTCCTCCGTCAAATCCACTTTCTCTTCCCATTTTTTCCTAATAGGAAAGGGAAGAGGACTAATAATAGGCATTCGACACGCACACTCATCAGACTGTAAGCAGAATTGCTTCCACTTCGTGCTTGTCTTCTGTGTTGTCGTGGTACTGCAGCAGGGCCCATTTGTACAACATATGTTGTTGCTAGTGTCTACCAATATTAAACTTTTTTTGCATATTATTATCAGATAACTATACGTTCCCACTGAGGCTCGGGGTCTACTGTAACTTGTTAGCAACAAAATCCGACACTGTGCGGGTGTACTGGTGCGACACTAGCATTACAAAAATGTCGACGTTTATGTCCCCTCACTAATCAGACACTTGACTTTGTAACGAAAGCGCGCCATTCGCGCCAAAGAATTCTAACTAATAATGTCTAAAACTAAAACTAGGCTATTGTCAACCATGCTAACTCGTCGCGGGTTGGTTGACATCACACATATTTTTGCATATGCCAATTGTAAAAATACAGGAAAACAAATCAGATAAGCTATTCTGTGTTTTCATTGATTTGTGTAAAGTAACCTAAAATATATTGTATGTTATTCTTTGCTCTAATTTAATGTATAAAATTAGCTAATTAGTCCAGAGCGGCGTCGTCGGTGAGGCAAACATTGTAATTAGTGTCCATCAATCATTCACTAACTCACTTTGACATAGAGCAGCACAGTATACGTACGCTAACTTTAGCAAATGACTGGCATATCTCACCAATTAATTGCCTCTAGGTTTAGATTTATACATAAATTAATTTGGTACGTTTTCCTACGAACAATTACGTATAGACGACATATATTTTCTTAGTATTCAAGCCAAACAATGCTTTACCTCATATTTAATATTGAATATACCTTATAAATAAGTAATTCAATGCAAAAATAATATCGATTTGAAATTCAACGACAGTTTGAAAGTTTTGTCATGACTTACAATCATAACAAAATATAACATACAACATTGACCGATCTTATTCGAGTACATTTTCCGTCTCAAAATATACTTGGGATAGATCAAGAGTTTTCTACAAAGAATAAAAAAACTGAAGATTGAAACAAATTCTTTGATCCTTTACAAACAAACGTTAAAGGTATACAAACGATGAAACATACTTCTCTGGTTCAAGTGTAGTGTCGGCAGATGTATGTACAGTCAGAGAGATAATGGACTTTGATGAAATATGAGCAATTTATAAGATTTATTGTGTCCTTGCGGTTGTATTTGGCAACGGCAGGACACCTCGGTGACCATTAACGCAATCTTGTGTTTAATAACATGACCGGAATACAAACACAACATTGAATCGCATTGCAGCATACATGATTGGTCTAACATGACTATACAGAGAAAAAACTACTGGCTACTTTTAATTTAAAAGAAAAGGGATCAAATAACATGGAACACCTTTTAAAAAAAAAAGAATTATTTAAATCGGACAACTAGGGGCGGAGTTATCAACGAACAAAAATAAAAAAAACATGCAGACCAATTGAGAACGTCCTTTTTGAAGTCGATTAAAAATGGATATAAGAACTTTAAACTTGTAAATATGAATTACTGACTTAAACACTCTAGTATGACAGTAACTTGAACAAAGATTTGTGTACAGACTTCAAAAAACGTGAGATTTTATTCACAGGATTTTGTATTGTTTGTAATGAATCTCATGTACATGTTTCAATTCATTGGTTTCCATGAGGCTGTCGACAATATTACAGTACAGTTGGTACAGATAGAAGACATTAGATCGGTATATCGGTAGCCAGGCGTACGGCGCGGCGTGCGACGCAGCTCTGATGATGAATGAATCACGCAGCGCTGTCGTCACAATAGCAAAGCTTTGCAATTAGTGCTCATCAATCAACTCCATGCTTGCTGGTTATAATTTGTAAACCCTAAGCCTAGTCCTTATTTACCTAGTTTAATCTTGTATTTGATTTCAGTGTTGGTGAATTATTTAATGTTTTTATGACCCAAAAATAATATATATGAGTCAGCGAATATTATTTAACTTGTTGGTCAGTCCATTTTCGTATTTTATCCATACAAACTTTTACTGAAATATCTTTAGTGCGCAATAACTTTCTAACTTATGGAGTTTGTCTATGGGGAGCAGACAATGACTTGCGCTCATAGAATTTTCTCGCTTACCCTAGGTTCGAATGTTTTAATTTTCATTTCGAATGTTTTATTTGAAATTCTTCTTATTTTTCAAATAAAGTTATAATTAATCAATGTGCCAGCTTCATGAACTTCGAGCGCAACTAGCAACTGTTTTCAGGTTAAACCTATTCATGATATGACGTTCACTGGAACACCTTTGTTTGAGTTATCGTTCAAACGCTCAACACACACACATACACACATGTTCAACTTCGCAATAACATTAAGTACTACGTAATGGTGTGTTAATACGAATGGAGAGATTATAAAAATATTATATGGACGCCAGAAATAGTTCGTATCCTAAAAACTCTTGAAATTAAACAAAAATATTTAGAGACAATTTTTGTTTACAGCGTGACTGATTTGATTTTATTGTTTGCGACTCCGTCCGCGTATTTGTCTAAAAAATTAAAAAAAATTTAGTGTTGGACTACCCTTAACATTTAGGGGGATGAAAAATATTTGTTAGCCGATTCTCAGACCTACTCAATATGCTCACAAAATTTCATGAGAATCGGTCAAGCCGTTTCGGAGGAGTATGGGAACGAAAATTGTGACACGATAATTTTATATATAAGATTATTCAGACTAACATAGTTATGACTAACGTTACATTAAAACATGCCGTGTACTTACCTACTTGTATATAAATACATTGTTTAAATAATTGTTATTATATTGTAGCTAAACTTATGTAGTATAAGAATATGATTTGCTAGCAAACATATTGATTTTACACACGTCAATAAAGTCCAAGACAAAGATAAACTGTGCAAAAGACATTTCTACAAATAACATCCCGCCCGGACTCATCTCTCTACAAAAGTTTTATTAATATGGATAGGGTTTTAGTTCAGTTAGAAACTATATTACTTGGAAATTACGAATACATTTTATTAACATTTGGAAACTTGTTTATCTTTGTCGAGAATATAACAAGATCTTTTCTAAATAAATCCAAATTTATATTTTGCCAAAACCATACTGTACTTACTATA